TAGTGAAGGATAAGGATGGCCGGTCGCCGTGAGATTTTTCCAAGGTTGCGGCCTTAAGGATTTGCCAAGTAGGAAAGGTCAAGGAAGTCTTAGGGAAGATTTTGATCAAGGAAAATCTGGAATCCATCGAGGGAAAATGAATTCGGGACGGGAAAAACTCTGCGGGTCAGGTCGTACGTGTCGCGGTAATGATCAGTATGCGTCAATGTTGAGCGTGGGTAAGATAGGAAGCGGAAGAGGTGAGTCATGTCGACCAGGCCAGAATGGCACGTGGTCCGCGAGGCTACCCGTGGTCAAAACATGCCCGAGTGGCCGACAAGAACGCAAGAACACGTGTTAGCAGTTCGCCAACACTTTTCAGATTTTGTAGACACTTGACAAAATAGGGAACACTTGGCAAATCCCACTTCCGATCGAGTTAGCCTATAAATGCGACCCTCAGGCTTAGCTTTTTGATCAGAAACATGTTTGGCTTACCCTTACGCTGTCAAAATCCTTTCAACCTTACCTTAGCAGATATTCAAGGTTTTGGTGCGGTTTTGACGGGTTTTGCGAGTAGAGCAAGGTAAGATCTAGTGTATTCGCTGGGTAAATTCCTAGATTTTGTTTAGCCAGTTGTTAAGTTAAGGTTGTACCTTAGATTCAAGACCTTAGCTTCAGGTTAAACAAGTTGCGGGAAGGGAGACGGGGCACGTCAGAAGTCACTCTAGAAAACCTCCGAACGAAACCAGTGAGTCTAGGAAAAACTTGCGTGCAGTAATAACGATTTTAGTGCAGACAGTCATTTCATGCAAGTGATGTTCCAGTGATCGGACATCATGCATGTTTGTATGAAATACGATTTTGAGGTTCTTGGTAATTTTCTGTGATTTTTGCTAAGTATGAAATGATACTTCTTGTTGCATGTTGTGTTAAATAAGTGTGTGGTAAAGGGTCACATACTTAGTGAGAAGTATGTAGTAAAGGTTACCATATACTAAGTTAAAAGTATTTGTGTGTGTGTGTCAACTACGTTCAATAGAATTTAACTTAGAAAGAGACCACGGTGTGATTATTTGCATGTTAGATAGGAAAATGCATGTAATAATCAATTTGGAGTCAGTCCGACGTTCCCAGGAAAGACGCGATGGTTACTGCGCGCATGGTAGGAACCTGGTTGGCTCCCAGGGACATGGATACATGAGGGTGTATTGGGTTTAGTGGGGAAACCCAGATTCGTTAGACTTTGTGTTTACGAAACCAGTAAAGGAACAGGAACACTGGTCGGTATCGCCAGGCCTTAATGGAAAGGAAAACGAATGCATTCGAGTAAATTGTAGAGTCACGGTCAAGTAACCATTGATTGGTTGTAGTTTTGATTGATTGTGCTTGATATGTTTATATGTTGCTTGTTATCCTTGGGGGATCGAGCGGGAAT